GGGATGCATGCGTGCTCGTACTTCTCTGTGCACCTTCTTACCGCGCCAGCCTTGGGGCACCTTCTATATCAGTCAGCGAAGTTCCACTAGCTGCCGACACCGCCAAACCTCAGAGGCCCAACACAACAGAGGTTTCTTTTTTGATCATGTCCCAGCCTAGTGTGGATTGTCCAGGCTTCACGCTGCGCCAGTGGATTCTGGCAGGGGAGGGAGGAGGGTGGGGGAGGGAGGGGGAAAGAGGGCAGGAGGAGGGATTGAGAGCCGCAGGGGAGAATCCAAAGAGGATTTTCAGGCCTAGAAGGAAATTAAACCACTTCCCCCCACATGCTGCGCTGGCCAGACTCCCTTGCAGCTCACCTAACTGCAAGGGAGGCTGAGATATGGAGTCTAGCAGGTTCCCAGCAGGGAGTGGGGACACATTGCCACCTTCTTGCTGATGTGTCCCTTCCCTTGTGGCCCTATAGCTGAAGTTCAGGTGGAGGACACAAAGACTGTCGAGGTTGTCCCAGCTCAGAATCACCCCCTTGAGAGGCCCTGGCCTGAGCTCCTTGGCAAAAGCAAGACCCACTGCGCCTCGGGTGGGGATGACGAGTGTGGGGCCTGTCCCCTTCCCGTTGCAGCTCCGCTGCTCCAGCAGCCTCAGGTGACCACCCCCCTCCTGCCACTGGGGCACCCGGCTGGTGAGAGACGCCTCCCTTCCCTCACCCCGTCCTGCTGTGGCCTGTGTGCCGCTCATAAACGAAAGGCCTGTGTCACTCCCCTCAGCTCCTCTGCACCCGGCTGGGCCACCGGGACATCCTGGGTGCTCAGCAAACATTTGCTGAGTGGATGACAGAAGGAAAGAAGGAAAGGGGCAGCGGAGGAGGGACAGCCTCAGGCAGTGCGCGCAGGGCGGGCCAAGGCTCCCGCGGTTGCGGGAGCAGCGCTGGTCGCAGCTCTGCTCGCTACAAGTTGGGCTCATGGTTTCTGGCTTCGCCTGGGGATGAGCTTTGTTCTTTATTTGTGTTTTGAAGTTATAAGTGAATTCATGTATTTTGGGGACAGGAAATAACATTCGCACGATACGAAAGGGTCTCCAGTGAAAAACAACCTTCCTACTCCTTCCTCATCTGGCTTTCTTTCCCAGGAGAACCAGCATTCCTGGGTTCCCGAGAACCTTCCAGAAACACGTCTTGGCTAGCATTCACATCTTGGTGGTGGTTGTGTGATTACCCTCTCCTGCAGCCGGGAGGCCTTGCTGGCCTGGGGGGCGGGGGAGGAGCTAACTATGGCTGCAGCCTGCTGTCTCCACTCGCACAGACAGGACATGCCGCCCTCCCTGTGGCAGGCCCCCAGGCGCTGCTAGCCCTTCGCTCTGGTTCCCAGCAGCTGTGACTCAGGTCTCTCTGGCCACACTTCCCGCTCAGAAGGGAGTGGGACCCCATTCTCTGGGTCTTCCATTGTGCTTTCTGGCCGCAGGGGTTGCGGGCTGCGGAGCCGCTCTGCCCCTCCCCCTCCCGTGTGCCTCGTTGTCTTCTGTGAAAGAGGCAGCCTTGTATGAGCAGGGCCAGTAAAGTTAGGAGAAAAGGAGAGGAGAGCTGCTATTTTCGGGTTCCGATGCCATGTCACAGGGTTGCCAGGCCGGGGACACCTCATGTAAATAAATACGCACTTTTCTAAAGAGGGGTCCGTAAGTTTTCATCCTTAAACAAAAAGGTCCTGAGCTTGACTTCCTCCACAAAAAAGAGCCTCGACTTGAGAGGGAGGTTCAGTAAGTAGCCATCAGATTGTTGGCAAAGCCCCGAAGAATAGTCACCCCCGAATGCTAATGTGGGTACAGGGCTTCCTGGAGGGCCAGGTGAGAAGGGGGGGGTCTCAAGGAGACAGGCTTGAAAGGAGCGAGAAGTCCGGGGGACACTTCAAAGGGACATGTTTGTGTGAGGCTTAGGGTGTTGGTAGGTGTGTGAAGGACGAAAGTGTCAAAGGCTTGAGGTGGCCTGTGTGGGATGGGGTGGGGGTGGCGTAGGCGGGAAAGGAAGGGTCTTTGCCCCTTCGGGCTCCTGTGTGCAGCAAGGTGTCTATCTGAGGTGTGCACACAAGCTGCCACTCTACGCCCACGCCCCCCAGCCCCGCCCGCCCCCTAGGCAGGAGGGAGGAGGGAGATCTTATCGGCCTCTAGGTGCTTCGGGAGTTTCAGGCTTTCTCAGCAGCCCCGTCTCTCTGGCCCCCCTCCCCCCCCCCCCAGGCCTTGCCCCCTCCAGCCTCTGCACAGGAAGTAGGCTGGCCCTAGGATTTGTCTGCTGCCCTATCAGCCTAGTGTTTGAGTCGCCAGTGCCAGAGCCGGAGCAGGGCCCTCGGGAGATAGATGGCTGTGGTCGCAGCAGCAGAGAGAACCCGAGAGAGCTCGCCGCAGCCCCATGTCTCAGCCAGGTGATATGCCACCTCGCCCTCACCCTGCCCCGGCCCAGTCCCCAGGTACCGGTAGCTCCCTCTCGGCCCCTGCTGCCAGCCCCGGGGGAGCTGGAAGGCAGTCCAGGTCGTGGGGATGGGGCCCACACTGGGGAGGCTCCCCCTGTAAAGCGCTGCAGAGGAGGCTTGTGGGGCGAGGGAGGACACCTGGCTGTGAAGCGGGGGTGCTGGGAAGTCTCTGGGGTTCGAGTCCCTTCCTTGGTTGTGTAACTGGGCAGGTCCATAGTATCCCCAAGCTCTGCTAGGGGTGGGATGCCCTCTCTAGGGCCGCTCGGAGGGCTTTCTCTCTCTCTTCTCCTGGAGGCTGAGGCCCCCTGCCCTTAGCTGTGTTTGGAGCACTGTGGGACTGCCGCTGACAGGGGTGGGCAGAACCATCCTTCAGGTCCCCTTCTGTCCCCCACGGCCAGGATCCCATGCCGGCTGGGGAGAGCCCCCCAAAGTGAAATAGCAAGAGTGGGCCCTGTGCCTGCGTGTGTGTGTGTGTGTGTGTATGAGAGAGGGGGGTGGATCAGAAAGGATGAGGGAAGGAGGTGTCTGCCAAGTTCAGAGGCCGGGTGGGATTCATCTCTGGCTACTGAGCTCCTGCTCCATGTCCTCTCCCAGCCCCCCATGAGCCCCCACATTCCTCAGTATTTGCCCCTTCGAGCCTCTACTGCACCCAACTGGGTTCAAACCCCCTGTTCCACCAGCCTCCAGCCTGGGCGAGAGGCTTGTTTCCATGCGCCTCAGTCTCCTCATCTGAGAAAAGGAGTCATAATAGTACCTACTCAGAGGGTTGCTCTGAGGACTAAATGAGGTGGTATCTGCAAAGTGCTAAGGGCAGGGCCGGGCACAGGGTGGGAGCTGAGTATTAGTCACCCTTGTCATCCTCCTCATCAGCCTCATCTGGAAATCAGATGACATGGTTTGAGTTCAGCCCCTGGGCGGCCCTGCGTGTCAGTCTTCGCATCTGTCAAAAAGGAGGCGATGACCCCCTCTCTCAGGGCTGGGGTAGGGGCCCCGTGAGTCAGTCAGTGCGAAAGTCCCTGCAGTCATAAAGGGCACAGGGTGACGTGCGTGGGAACCCTGGAGACGGGCGCTTGGGACTCCGAGGTCTGGCTTGCCCTCCCAGAGGCTGGACCGCGTCCTCCTCTGCGAAGCTTGCCGCACCCCCTCCAGACAGCGCTTCTCCTCCCGCCAGGCTCGCTGCTGCTGGGCTGTGGTTTGGCTCTGGCTCCTCGCAGTTTTCTGTGCCCTTCCTGCCCCCCGACCCTGGGGCTTTGTGCCAGGTCTCTCCCTGGGCATGGGGTTCCTGGCCCCAGGCGACGTCCTTCAGGGGATGTGCAGTGCCTGTGCCCCAGGGTCGTGACGGAGTGACTAAGGAGAACAGGGGGGGTTGCTGGGAGCCCTTTTGCTGGGCTCTGGGCCCTTTGGGGGCCCAATGCTGTGCCCTGTGATATTTGGCAGGGGGTCCAAAGAAAGAGACAACCAGCCCCAGCCTAGGGAGCTCACCTCTCGGTGGGGACGGTGGGCCAGGCACGGAGGAGCCCACGGGCACCTCTCGGGGCTCCTTCCCGCTCCGGGTCAGATGCCCCCCGCTGGCCTGTGCCCACGTGGGCCCAACTCTCCTGCGTAGGGAGGCCATCGGCCTTACCCCTGGGGCTGTGCCTGGGACAGGAGCCGGGCAGAGTAGAATGGCGTGGGACAACGGGCTTTGGGACCGAGCGGGAAGATTAGACCCTGGCTCTCCCTCCTCTGCGCACGTGACCTTGGGCGGGTTAATGACTCGGAGCCTCGGTTTCCTCCTCTGTGTAAGGGGAGAATACAAGCACCCCCCAAAACTACCAGTGGCTGGGCAGATTAGATGAGCCAGTGAACCAAAGCACTAGGCAGGCGAGAGTGCTCAGCACACACAGTGAGTATTGTTATGAGGTCATCGGCCTGGATACCCCCTCAGTGGGTGGGAAGCTGGAGTCAGAGAAGTGACGGGCGGGGCACCTGGGCTCTGGGCAGCCCGCCTGGACTCAGACCCACGACTGCCTCTTACTGGCTGAGTGGCCTCGCGTAACTTGCCCTTCACTGCTCTGTGCCTCAGTTTCCTCACCCAAAAATGGGGATAAGAGCATCTCCAACAGATGAGCTTCCTGTCGCATATAAAGAGTGTAAAACAGAGCCTGGCACGTAGGAACACCGTAACAAGGGGTTTTAGTGCAGCTCAGGGGGCAGCCGGGTAGAGAGGAGGTGGACGCTCATCCCAGCTCGGTGCTGGCTTCTTGAGGTGGACGTGAGCAAGTCTTTTCCTTTCCTGGGCCTCAGTTTCTCCAATTCTGAACAAGCGGTTGGGCTCACTCAGAGAGCCCTTTCAGCAGTGATCACGTGAGGGTCCCTGGATCCCTGGAGGAAGGGAGTGAGCGTGGGCCTGCCTTGCGCGGTGAGAGCAGGCCCGTAGGCCCCGAGAGGCTAGAGGCAGCGGCAGGGGGTGGGGCGGGGGGGGGCGGAGCAGTGCTCACCTGTGCTTTCTCTCCCTCTCCCTCCCTCAGGGCCCCCTTCCCCAGCTCCCACCTGCGGATGTGATGGCGGCTCTTGCTCTGTCCTGGTGTCTGTCCCTCCTCCTCTTCCTCCTGCCCCTGCCCATCCCTTGGGCATCCGCAGCGGTGAAAGGTGAGGATCCTGGTACCTGGGCAGCTGTGCCCCCTGGGACTCCGCCTCTCGGCAGGTCCATCATCAGGGGCGGGAGGCAGGGAAGAGGAAGGCAGGGGCAATGGGACCAGAGATCAAGTGTCCACCTTCTCCCTTTGCCCTCTGTCCCACCCCCACCTCCCCCACATGCCTCTCCAAGCCACAGAAGACACAGGCTTCCTGTCTTGTCCTGCCTCAGCCTATCTGTGGGGGGACCTTGAGTCTCTGGGGCTCAGTTTAGTCCTCTCTGAGATGGGCGGCTCGCCCATTCTCTGTCCGATGCGGTGGCTCGCCTCCCGCCCTGGCCGGCGGAGGGTGCGGGTAGCAGGGATGGTGGGTGGGCCCCAAAGGGCAGGGCAGAGGGTGGCTGCAGCCAGCCACTCCCACCTTGTCTTGCCAGCAGACACGTCCAAGCTCACGTGCTTCTATAACTCAAGAGCCAACATCTCCTGTATCTGGAGCCGGGATGGGGGCCTGCAGGACACTTCCTGTCGCATCCACGCCCAGCCTGACAAACGGTGAGGGTGGGGACACTTCGGGACAGTGGAATCTCACCGTCATGGTGGTCAGGCTCTTAGAATCGAAACTCTCAGACTCCAAGACTCCTTCACTTTGAGCATCTTGGGTAAACGGAAGCCATAGGCTCTGGGTATCCCAAGAGTCTGGAAAATTCAGGAGACAGATGTTGAGGCTCCTGGAACCTGGGTGGGATTAGGGTGTGGGGGTCCAGGCTGCAGAGGGGCTGGGCAAGGTAGACCAAGGACATGGCGGGGTGGGGGGGCGGGTGCTTTGAGCTTGTTACGCTGAGGCTGGACTTGACTTTAGAGGCAAAAAGGGAAGAGAGGATGATCCCACAGTTTTGTGAGTAATCTGGGATTTTTGAGGGGCCCTCTATGGCAGCTGTGGGGAAAGGGAGCTTGGAGGGGATGGGTGGGAGCGGAGGGAGAGGATGTGGTGATGCAGGAATCCTGGTGACAGCAACACAGGCTCCCATGGGCTGTGATTCCATGAGGCTCCCAAGGCCCAGCCCAGCCCCGTGAGAAGACTGCAGGCTTTGGGGGCAGAGGCCAGGGGTCCTGAACTGGTTTGTTTCCAGAAGAACCCTCTGGCTGCTGGGGGCCAGGCCAGGGTGGGGAGGGTGGGCAAAGCAGATCGGGGACCCTGACACCCCAGGAGCCTGCCAGAGAGCATCTGCACAGGCTGGCCTCACTGCACAAGGACCGTCCCAAGAGCCAACCCTGGGGTCCCTCCTTTTCTTCTAAGGTTTTTTTTTTTTTTTTGCTTTGAAAGTTCCTGGAAACAATTCTGTGAGCTGTTTCCAGTGATGCCGCCATCCTGGGCCTGCAACCTGATCCTTGACGAAGACCCTGAGGTGAGCGGCCCCGAGGCAGGGTGGGTGCCAAGGGGTGTCCCTCCGGAGAGGATCTGGGCCAGCCCAGTGCCCGGGGGGCAGGAGAGCAACCCCCAGAAGCCCGACCCCGGCCGGCCGGCCTCAGGGCCGCCAGACCCACAGTGCAGGGGACCCTCATACAGCTTCGTCCCAGCTGTCGCCCCCGGGCTGGCGGGGCCTTGGGCGCTCCTCTACCCCCCATCGAGTGGGGAGAGCACCTCAGTCACAGTCATAGCTACACACCTGACTCTTCCTGAGGCCTTACCAAGGGCAGGGCCGCAAGTCGGAGTGTGGATTCTGGACCCGGACAGTCTGGGTCCCAACCCTGGCTACACTGTACCCTAGCCGGGTGCCGCGGGGCGGCTTCCATGCCCAGTTTCTCCTTCTGTGAGACGGGAATGACGGTGGCACCTACCCAGAGGGGCGACCTGGGTGTTACAGCACGTGGAGCGCCACCCAGAGTAGAGCAGGCCCCGACACCATCGCCAGTGGATCCCTAGGACTCTGTTGGGCACCTTCCTGTCCTCTTATTAACTAGTGAGGAAATTGAGGCTCAGAAAGGCGTGGTCTCCACCCAAAGTCACACAACCAGAGGGTGGCAGAGCTCCAGCCCAGGCCCTTCACCATGGCACTAGGCTGCCTCTTGACGGGCACGCGGCTGTGGCCCTGACGTGCGTCATGTCATAGACCGGCAAACCCTTCTTGGCTGTGGTGGGCACCAGGTTCGCCCAGACCACGTTTTCCAACCGTTCTCAGGCTCTCTGCTTCCTCAGGGGTCAGCAGAGCGGGGTGACTGGCCAGCGCAGCATAGCTGATAAAGGCACAGCCTCTGGGACCAGGCTGCTGTCCCTGTGAGCTCTGCAGGTCCTGGTCCCGCCTAGCTGGGGGACTTTCCTGACTGTGTGACCTTAGGCAAGTCCCCAAGCCTCTCTGTGCCTCAGCGTCCTCAGATGTAGGACGAGGATAGTAATAGTGCCCGTCTCATAGGGTGCTGGGAAATATGTAAGTGTGTGGAAGAGTGCCCGCCACAGACTAAGGACGCCGCCGGTATATTGTTGGCATCTCTACAACAACAACAGTAATAATAAAAATGACAGGACTGTTTATTGTATCGGATAATCTGGCCCCCGTGGAAGCTGGAAGAAGGTCAGAGCAGGGTCCTTGGGGTACAGAGGAGGAACTGTTTCCAGCTTCGGCAACTCTGAGGATGAGGTTCAAGGCTTGCTCAGTGGGCCCTGCAGCGGGTCAGAGGGATCCCGCCCTGGGTCCTAGCCAGGAAAACAGCGCCTCAGGCCCAGAGCACAGACCCCAACCGTGCCTACGCTGGGCCCTCCTTCAGCAGGAAACCCCTCGCTCGGCCGCCCTCGGCCGGGCATGGCGGGCTGGGGCTGCAGCCTCCATGGCACTGGGGACACAGAGCCTGGGGTTGAATCTGGGTTCCCCTGCAGACCAGATGCGTGACATCAGGCAAGTCCCTTACCTGCCTGAACCTCAGTTCCTCACCTGCAAGGGTGTGGATGGACCACTGTGAGAATCAGCCAGAGAGGCGGCTTAAACGCCGGAGCATGCCTGCCCACAGATGCTTAGTTAGCACCACTTGGCTGTTTCTTTCCAGAAAAATCGGAGGGCAGGGTGGGGAGAAGATGGGGGAGGGGAGGCTTTCACACTCAAAGCCGTTACCCAGGTTCAGTGCTGGCCCTGCACCTTCTTGGGTGCTCGCCCTGCTCGTACACCCCTTGTGACTGAGAACTCCCCCCTCCCAAGGCGGCTTTCTTCACTTTAGATCAGGGGTTGAGAAATGACTGTGGCCCATGGGCCAAAACTAGCCTGCTGTCTGTTTTTGTAAATAAAGTTTTATTGGCACAAAGCCACACCCATTTTCTTATTTGCTGTCCGTGACAGAGTTGAGTAGCTGTAACGGAGAACCTGCCAAGTCAAAAATATTTACCACCTGACCCTTTACAGAAAACGTTTGCTGACCCCAACCTTAGACAGGGTGGGCCTGTGGCGGGGCTCCACCTGCAGAGCAGTCTTGGTCTCCCCTCCTGCCCCCCTCCTCCCCCCCCCGCTGCCAGCAACAACACCTGTGCCCCCCTTCCAGGCTCAGCCACTGACCGCATCAGATGTTGTCAACATGAGCGTGATGTGCCATGAAGGGGAGAAGTGGCAGGTGGTGATGACCCAGGAGTTCAAGCCCTTCGAGAACCGTGAGTGAGGAATCCAGGGTGGGCGGGGGAGTGGGATCTGCTTCGTGGGATCACACTCTCCCAGTCTCTCTCCATCCTCTTCTGCACCCACATCTGACAAGTTCACTGCCTGCTCTCCTCGGGATGAAGTCCCAGCTCTGTACCCTGACGTTCAAGGCCACTTGGGAATCTGCCTGGCTTCCCTCTCCACACCAAAGGCCAGCTGTTCGAACTCAACTTGTCCATCCATGCCTCTGAGCCCTTGCATGTGCTAGTCACATGGTCTGGAAGGCTCTTCCCCACCGGAAGATTGACCCTCCTCCCTTCAAGTCTCAGTGAAGGGTCACCTCCTCCAGGAGGCCCTCCCAGACTCTCCCAGCTTTTTGTACCTCCTCTTTCAGGGTGTTTGTGTCCTGGGCCGTCAGGGGCTGATCATGGGACTGTCCCCCTCACTGGGCTGTGAGCTCCCTGAGGGCAGAGTTTCTGCCACCCCTGCCTCTGTGCTGAGTACTCAGCACCAGGTCTAATCTGGGTGGTGCTCTGGAAAGGTTTGTTGAATGACTGAGTGCCTGAGTCCCTTCCCGCTTCCCCCCAGACCTTGGACGCCTTCTCCACAGAAGAGGAGGGGCAGATGGTGAAACCCAGGCGGGGCTCTAAATGCAACATTGCCTTAACTTGGTGTCATCTGACTGGCAGGTCATTCCACAGGCCTGAGCTCAGTTTCCTCATCTGCGAAATGGGATAATCAGTTACCTGTTGCCCATGGTTGTTGTAAGGAGTCCTTAAGCCAAGACTTAGTACCTGCTTAGCCCATGCTCAGTAAACACTCATTTATTGTTGTGTGTGGAGTTCTATAAAGTCTCAGAATTATAAAACTTCCATCAATTCAACCTCAGAATCATAAAACCGTATACAAGGTAACGAGGTTAAATTACATTAAATGAATGAGATGATCCACTGAAAACTCTTAGATCGTTTGCGTGCAGAGAAAGGCTGCCCTGATTCATTGATTCAGCAGATGTTTAATTAAGTGCATTTTATGTGCCAGGTAATGTGCCAGGCATGAAGGACACTTGAGAGAACAGAGTCCCTGTCCTCAGCACGCTCACAGGCTGGGGAGGGAGAGAGGAAGTTAATCAACCCCGAACTAGGGTTTAACAGTCAAGTGGTGGCAGAGCCGGGAAGACAAATGAAATGGGGAGGGGGACAGAAACAGGGAGAGTGGCGGGTGGCAGGGGAAAGCTCCTCTGCACAGGTGATATCTGAGTGGTGGCCTGTGGATTTCTGGGGGAAGGGTGCACCAGGAGGGAGGAACAGCAGGCACAAAGGCAGAGCAGGAGCACATCTAGGCTCTATCATCTCAGCGTCGAGATCCAGCGTCCCCAAAGCTTCCCTCCTTGCTTTCTCCCTGTTCCAGTTCGCCTGATGGCGCCCGACTCCCTCCAAGTCACCCACATAGAGACCCGCAGATGCAACATCACCTGGGCCATCAAACAGTCCTCCCACTACATTACAAAATGCCTGGTGTTTGAGGCCCGGACCCGGTCCCCAGGCCACAGCTGGGAGGTGAGTCTGGGGCCCAGTCCAACCTGCCCTGGTTCCCCCTCCCTGTGCTGGGCACCCTGTCCATCCTCCGTCTCAGCAAAGGCACAGTGGCCCCCAGGCAGCCCTTGCCTCTCCCTCCATCCATGTGGCCCCTGACACTCCAGGATGCCAGCTGGTGGCAGAGTCTAAGCTGACACCAGGCAAGATCGACATAACCAAGAGGCAGACCACTTCCCTCTCTGTGAGCTTTCAGAGGCCCTGGGATGCCATGTCTCCACTCTTCAAGTCCAGCGTGGTCCGGGTCCACAGGGGCCTGTCCTTATTCTTTCGCTCATTCCTTTCTTCACTCACTCAGTCATTCAACAAACACTGAATGCCTGCTGCGTGTTGAGTGCTGGCCAGAGAGTGGGGGGCCAGACAATCTTCCTGCTCTCAGGACACTGACATGAATGCACGTGTCGGGTGGGGAGGAAAAGAACAGTCAGCAAACACAGGAACAGAAGACTGCAATATTGGCAAAAGTTACCAGGGAAACAAAATGGGATAATGCTTCTGAGAGGGACTGGGACAGGCTACGTCCCCGGGACAGGCGACCAGGAGGGCTGTTGTGAGATCAGAGGGTCAAGAAGGAGCTGAGCCTGCAAAGATGTGGGGAGGGTTTTCCAAACAGAGGAAGCAGCTACTGCAAAGGCAAAACACTGACTGGGGGTCGGGGCGGAGGGGGGATGTGCAGGAGGGGTCTGCGGGAAAATCCATCTTTCTGGTCGTGTGGAGAACAGACCACACTGGATGTAGTGGAAGCAGGGAGACAATTCTCAGGCCTGGGAGGTGGTAGGAGCTCAGACCAGGAGCCGGGAGGAGAGAAGGGGAAGGGCCCGGAGGAGGTCCCAGAGGTGGAACCAGGGGCTGGAGGCAGAACCAGTGGATTGGCAGGTGACTTTGGATGGAGCGGAGGAGTGAGAGGGAGGTGTTGAGGATGACCCCGGGGGTTTGGGCCCCAGCAGTTGGGTTAGTCAGGGAGCCTTTGGGGAGGATGGGGTGGGGTGAAGGGAGCGGGGAGGCTGAAGGGGGGAAAGGAAGGTGTTGCTTTGCTCAGCCCCCTGGTTGGCCCTGCTGTGGGAGGTAGGTGGGCCGCGGGGGGGCCCCTCCGCCTTCATAGCCCTGTCTCCGCCCCAGGAAGCGGCTCTGCTGACCATCGGGCAGAACCAGCAGTGGATCTTGCTGGAGACCCTTGCCCCGGGCACCCTGTATGAGTTTCAGGTGCGGGTCATGGCCCAGCGAGGCAGCAACTCGACTTGGGGCCCCTGGAGCCAGCCCCTGGCCTTCAGAACGAAGCCTGAAGGTAAGGGCGGAGCTGGGCGGGAAGGCGTGGCTGGGCGTGGCTCTGGGGGCTTTCTGGGGCTACGGGGCTTCTCTCACCCTGAGCTCCCTTGATGTGACCCTGCAGGGTGGGCGTTGAGGGCAAGACTGTGCTCCTGTGATGGATGGGAACAGGGACTCCATGAGGGGATGGGACTGCCCCCTGCAGCCTCCGTCTCAGCAAAGGAGTTAGCGGGGGCCCGAAGGGCTCTTTTCATGGTCTCCGCCCTGCGACCTCACACTCTGGGTTTCTGCACGGGGCAGCGGTGGGCTGGTTTTACCTTTCAGCCTCAGTTTCCTCATCCATAAAGTGGGCACCACGCTGCCCGGTGTTGGCCTGGCACGCGGCAGCTCGGCCGGGCCAGCTGGGATGCTGGGAAGGCAGAGGGTCAGAGATCACCCTGCCCCTCTGGAGTGACGTGGGTGAGTCGGGGTACTTCTCTAACTCCTCTCCCTGGTTCTCCTTCCACCCATGGCCAGCCCGTTCGGTGGGCCATATCATCGTGGGCCTCAGCGGTGCCTTTGGCTTCATCATCTTGGTCTACCTGCTGGTCAACTGCCGGTACCTCAGGCTGTGGTAAGAGCTCCTGCCTCCTCGTCTGTCCTGCATGTTCCCATCTGCTACACACACCTCTCGCCAGCTCAGGTGCTGGGCTGAGCCCCTGCTCGAGCACACCAGGGCTCCCGTTGCCCTCTCAGGAGTCTGCCTTGCTTACACCTGGCCTCTCCCTGTGATCTGTCCCCAAAGGTGGAACCCATGGGATCAGCCTGATGGGAGCAGGGGAGGGGGAGCCCTAGGTGGGGGCCTGCCCAGAGCAATACTCTCAGGAGTCGCGTGTGTGAGCACATGTGTGTGTGCACACCAGCTGCTGTGTGTGTTGGTCCTCGTGGCTCTGCCTGGGTCTGGGCCCAGCCCAGTGGCAGGCATGGCGCTGAGTGCTGGGAACGCAAGGACTAGCCACGTGCACATGGTCTTGTCTTCCTGGAGGGAAGGCTGATGATTAGTCAGATACTTATAGAAGGAAACACGTGATTAGGACAGTGCAGGAAGGTGCTGGGCGTACTGGAAGCAGACTACAGGGAGAGGAGCCTCAGTGGAGGGGTAGCTGGAGGAGCTTCCCAGAGCAAGTAGTGATTCCTGGTGTGCGGGCCGGGCGGGGGTGGGGGCGGGGGGCGGTGATGGGGAGAGCAGGGAAAACAGCACATGCAGAAGTCCTGGGTGAGAAGGAGGGAGGGACTTTTCAGAAACCAAGAGAGCAGGGAGGTGGTTGTGGCTGGAGACCAGATGGGGGTTGGGGAGGGGGCTGACCCAAGCTTTGGTGGGCGCATGGGCAGCAGCCACGCTTTCTGGGGTCTCAAGGCCACAACCTACCTTTCAGCGCAGGTGCATGCAGACGCTGGAGCCCTCAGATTGCAATTCAGCCCCCACTGACCTCTCCCCGCAGCAGGTGCCCTGAGGCAGTGCGCCATCTGGACCCCCACCCCGAGAGGCCCACGACCTGGCCTCTGTCCTAGCTCCCTCCTCCTGGTTCGCTCCGTGCCAGCCACCTCTGTCCCTGACTGCTTGGCTCACGTGGTCTCCGGGCCACATTTTTCTTTTTCACAACACCCTTTGTCTCCCCAGATGAGTGGTAACCTGGCACTCCGCTTTGTGTCCGTGTCCCCATGAGAACGTCAGCTCCTTGAGGGCAGGGACCTTCTCTGTAGGCCAGTCTTGTGTCCCAGCAGCCAGCACGATATCCTCCCTTACCGAGCATTCAATCGTTATCGACCAAATAAATGATCCGGTGTCCAGTGGCTCCGCGCCCTGCCCCCAGAGCTGTGGGCTGCTGGCAGGGCCCTGTGGCCCCCTTCCCCTCTCACCCCCCGCACCTCCCTCCCTCTCCCCTGCTCAGGTTGAAGAAGGTTCTGAAGTGTCACATCCCAGACCCCTCGGAGTTCTTCCCACAGCTGAGCTCGGAGCATGGAGGAGATTTTCAGGTAGGAGTCGGAGGTGGAGGGCGGAATTGAGCAGCTGGCGCAGGCCGGCCAACACGTGGACAAGGGTGTCAGTAGGTGAGGAGGCGGGGCCGGAGTGGCAGGTTTGGCACTGGGCCCGAGAGGCCACTGCTGAAGGGCGCAGCCCCAGGTGGGCGTGGGCCCCTCTCCCAGCTCCGGCACCAGCATCCTCCGGCAGAACGACACCTCCTATTTGAGCTGGACTGCCTGGTTCTAACCCTGGCTCCACCACTTCTTGGCTGTGTGACCTTGGACAAGTTATAGAATAGCCCTGTGCCTCAGTTTCCTCACCTGTAAAATGGGGAGGAGCGTAGTGTTACTCTGTGCCTGGCCCTGAGAACATTGCTGGCCCACAGACGGTGAGCAAGCAGCCGGCCCCCTCTGGAATTACTGTCTCCAGTCTGTTGACAGAGCAGGTCTGGGCAAACAGAGCCACAGGCTGGAATTCAGCCCCATCCCCACCTCCCCAAACCAGTGCCCTGGGGCAGGGCAGAAACTGAATGAATCACCATCCGTGAGCTCTCCGCTCTGTGGGCCCCACACAGGAGAGCTCAAACCTGCTCCGCACAGATAAGACCTGCTCCGTACAGTTAAGGCTCCCTCGATAAGGCTCCCTGGGCCCCTGCGGAGATTCCGCAGGTGGGCCTGTCACTTCTCACAGAGGCTCACAGGGCCTCTGGTCACTTCTAGCCACAAAGCACAGATTCATGGGCAAAGTGCTGGGTAGCACTGTAAACGCCATTCAGAGCTGGCATCTCCCCTCCCCCAGTCCACACCCACTTCAGGAAGGAAGCCTGGGGGGGGAAGGGGGATGTGGTGGGCTGCCTGTACCACCCAAGCCCGTGCTCCCCCGCACTCCCCCCCAGCCTCAGGCTCCCTAGATTTGGGGGAGGGGATGGGCTGGGGCTGGAGGGAGCGTAGGAGGAGTGCTGTCTTTGGAGTTTTCTACCAGGGCTGGTCAGGGTCCCTTCTGGAATTTTTTGGAAAACTCAACCCTAAAGGTAGTGAACTCCCCACCAACAAAAGTATGCAAGAAAGCCTGACTATGCCTCAAAACATGGCTGAAAGGATTCCTACGCTGGACCTGGTTGGAGGCTGAACTAGATGCAGTCTCAGTCCTCTTCCAGTTTGCAGGCTTTCTGATTCTACAGGCCCAGGCATTTTGAGGTGAAAGCAGGGTCCTTTTGGAGCACGGCAGGTCACTCCATCTTCCCAGGACGGCGTCCCCAGTTATAGACACCTGCTCCCGGCCTCGTGTGTGTGTGTGTGTGTGTGTGTGTGTGTGTGTGTGTGTGTGTAGGAGTCCCGGGGGGCCGTACCATGCGGCTGAGGGGGGCCCACAGGGACCCCCTCTCATCCTCTGCATCTGAGTGGGAGGCCTGCTCCTCTTTCTCTCCCTGCCCCAGGGCCCCCAACTGCAGGGCCACAAGGCCCTCTGTCCCATCCACGGGGCCTGGGGGTGCATGCGAGAGTGTGGGCATGCGTGAAGGAGGATGAGTTGCCCCTTGTGCTCTGCTCCCCGCCGCTTTGAGGGCACTGTGGACGGAGGCCCAGGCCCAAGAAGTGGCTGACCACACACGCCTTGGAGGGGGTCCCGGAGGCCTGGCACGCCAGCCCTGGCCGGGGGCCTGGCCTCCCCCTGGCTCTGCCCCCACCGCTTCTGTGGGCCCCGCCCGGCCTGTGCTCTTTCCCTCTCTCCTAGTTGACTCCCCTTCCTTGCCATACTCAGTTTGCCCTGGGTTCTCTCTCTCTTGGATTTTTCTCCTGTAACACACACCCCTGGTTTGGGGAAGGGAGTACATTTTGTTGAGTGGTGTGTACGAGTGTGTGCATGTGTGCATATATATGTATGGGGGGTGTGTGTGTGCACATGTATGTGTCCATGCATCTGTGTACCAGCCAGCATGGCTCCAGAAACTCACTCTGGGGAGGGAGAAATGGGGCATTTTTCCAATGGTCCATTAATGCATCTGAAATATACTGATTGGTCCCGCAGGCCTTGTGCTGGGCACAGGAATGCAAGGGGAGCCCACAGGCCTGGTCCCTGGGAGCTGCCAAGAGCCCCCAGGACTGAGAGCTGTTGGGGTCTCGAATGCACCGCCTCGAGGGGCCTACTGCCCCACATCTCTGCTGTGTAGCGGGCATCGTGCCCCATGCCAGCTTTCTCCACCCTCGTTTCCTTACCCCACAGCTCCCTGCAGGTCCACAGGGAGGAAGCGGGGGAGGGGCAGGAACTGCTGTGGAACTGAGGCTGAGAGAGGTGCAGGGACCTGGCCGGGGTCACACAGCTTGTGAGGGCCAGGGCTCTCTGGACTCTGGAGCGACGGGGAAGTGCCCCGATGGGTGCTGTCCTCCGTCCCGGGGTGGGGGGCGGGCACCGAGCACTGGGAGGGAGACGCAAATTAGGGGACCGTGAACTCCCTGCCAGAGATGTTTCTGTGGCAGTGTAGGGGGGGCCTGGGTCCCGGCCCTGCTGTGTGATGAGGGCCAGGAACTGCCAGTAAAGTGGGCGAGACGTGCTCCCAGCCCTTCTTGCCCTGGCATTGGTGGGTGGATTCGCACACTCACGCTGGTCTCCACCAGACACTGACCTTCTACCCTTTGTTGCGTCCTCAGTCCCTAGAATAGCACCAGGCTTATAGTAGATGCTCAGTAAAGGGGCGCTCGTTGAACCAGTGCATCCCTTGGGCACCTGCAGCGGGCCAGGAAGGCCTGTGCAAGGGCTGGGGGCAGGCGCCTCCTCGGGCTGACCCAGAGGGTTCCCCAAGCAGGGGGCAGGTGGTGGGGGTCTGGGGGGACAGGCAGGGAGGGGCAGCCTTGGGTGGCTCGCAGCCCGAGGGGCGGTTAGGAGCTGTTGCTGAGAACCCTGAGGAGGCATCTGGCTTAAAGCTCGCACTGGTCTGTCTCCTGGCAGAAGTGGCTGTCTTCGCCCTTCCCCTCGTCCTCCTTCAGCCCCAGCGGTCCAGCCCCCGAGATCTCTCCACTGGAGGTGCTGGACAAGGATGCCAAGGCCACACAACTGCTCCTGCTGCAGCATGACAAGACGCCCCCACCTCCCCTGGAGACCAGCGGCCACTCACTGACCAGCTGCTTCACCAACCAAGGCTACTTCTTCTTCCACCTCCCGGACGCGCTGGAGATTGAAGCCTGCCAGGTGTACTTCACCTATGACCCCTGTGCCGAGGAGCCTGATGAGGGTGGGCCTGGAGCGCCTGAGGTGTCTCTCCTGCCGCCTCTGCCATCTCTGCCAGGGGAGGAGGATGCCTACTGCACCTTCCCCCCCAGGGATGACCTGCTGCTCTTCTCCCCGACTCTCCTCAACGGCCCAAGCCCCCCACACATTGCCCTGGGGGGCACCGGGGCTGGTGAAGAGAGGCTGCCCCTCTCTCTGCAGGAAGGAACCCTGAAAGACTGGGTCGCCCAGCCCCTGGAGCCGCCAACCCCAGGCGCCCCTGACCTGGTGGATTTTCAGTCACCCCTGGAGAATGCACTGGGAGAAGCTGGGGAGGAGGGCCCTGGCCCTGGCCCTGCCCCTGGCCTTGGCGCGGGGGCCGGCTTCCCCTGGGCCAGCCCTCCTGGACAGTGCCAGGTCCGGGCCCCCACCTTCTGCCTGCCCCTGAACACTGACGCCTACCTGTCCCTCCAAGAGCTCCAGGATCAGGACCCAGCTCACTTGGTGTAGACAGATGGCCAGCAGTGGGGCAGGTGGCTGTCTGCTGTTGCTCCAGGCCCAGCTGGGGACTCTCTGCCTTCAAGGCTTGTCCTCCGCTGAGATACTTGGTGTCCAGCTGCCCCATGGACGCCTTTGCCCAGATGGCCCCTGCCAGATCCTGCATGCTGGGCCGTTCACTTCCAAACCTCACTTGCTGCTCCCTGGTCCTACTGACCGCCCCTGTTGGGCACTGCATGGGGAGGGGCGCTTGGACCCCCCCCCATCAACCATGGGGGAGCCCTGGGTTTTGTCTCCAAGTACTGCGCCTCTCTGGTCTGCAGCTGTCTCTCAAGGAGAGGTCTCGTGGCTCCCCCGGGGCTGCACCCCGGCCCTTCACTGGGCATCCTGCCCAGTCTCATCCGCCCCCAGCCCCTCTCACTCACCCTCCACGGGGCAGCCGGGGCCCTCTTTCCAAAACACACACATGGCTATGCCGCCCTTGTTGAAAGCCCTGCCCTGACTCCCCACCGTCCTCAGCGCCACTGCTGGCCTGGCCCTTGCCCCCCAGCATCATGTCGGTCATTCCATCCCGGGACCCTCCCGGCAGTCCTGAGCGAGCCCCTTGGGGCTCCTTCACGCCCCCATGCCTTTGCCCACCTCATTCTCTGTGCCGGGGACGTCCTCTCCTTTCTCATCCAGGAGACGAACTGCCCTCATCCCTCAGGTGTCAGGGCAGCGTCCCCTGGAGGGAAACACTGCCTCCCTTCCCGTGCCCAGACCTCAAGACTCAGTGCAGGAGGGCCAAGTTCTCAGGGTCACAGGGTGGCTGGACAAAGAGGCCCTGTCAGCTCTCTTGGGAATCTCCTGTGAAGGCAAAAATTTGGCTACTGCATCTTTAATGTTATAGACCAAGGATGGACATGGATCCCCCACCGAAGTGGGCACTGGCTGGGTCCTTCCGCAGTGGCTTCACAGAGGCATCAGGCGTGCTGCTGGAAGAAACCCCTGCTGGAGTCGCAGGGAGCCCCGTCCTGGGCTCCTGCTGCCCCGCCCTCCTCGGCAGGGGGCTCTGCTGAAGCCTAGGGGCTGGCAGGCCGCCTCCAGAAGGGCAGCTCCGTTCAGTGCACTTGGCACCCCATCATGTTCCCCTGATGAATTAATGGTTGTCTGGTACCACCTTGCCTGGGCTTCCCGCACCCAGCTGCCTTCTCACAAGGGGCACCATCCACCTCTTGAGAGCACCCTGGGCACCTTGCCCTTTCATGAGGTCCCATGCCCACTAGTTGCAGCATGCCTGCTCCAGCAAGAGGCCCATCCTCTTACATGGGAGTCCTCTTCCTCCCACTTCCTTCTCAGGGCTCCCTGCCACTCCTCCATTTCTTTCCCTCTGCCCCTGGCACTGATTACACCAGTGACGTCTGTCGCAATCTCCTTCCTTGACTAGGAGTCTTGGGAAGGTACCAGCCTCCCTTATAACTCAGCTGGGAGAGTAAAGTGCCTGTATTTACAGGCCCTGCTCGCAGATGATTGGGCACTTGAAACAGGCCAGCAACCTATGAGGTGGTTTAGAACAGAAGCTCTGTCCAATCAGGAAGGCCAGGCCTGCGCTGGCAAATGAGATTTCTCTCAGTCTGGGGCCTTTGACCTCAAGGAAGGAGGGAGGCCCCTGGAAGCAGGCACGTGTAGAAAAGACTCGGGAAAGGGCTAGAGCGGAGTCGAGCCCCAGCTCCTGATACAAAGACTCCTGCTGCTGAGGGGCTACTGGCCCTCCAGTCAGGATTTCTGTTTCCCTTATGGCAAAATAACCCTTTCCTGAGGTTGCCTGAGTCTTGAATTCTCACCATGGAGTAGCTTAATTACCCTGCAGTGCCACTTCCCATTTTCTGCCGTCGGATGCTCTGTAACCCGGGCTGCTGGACGCCTCTGTCCTGGCCCAAGCATCATGCCCCAGCTCCTTGCCCAGACCTTTGCTGTGTGTCCTGGGGTAAACTGGGAAACCTCTCTGCGAGTCACATGCCAGAGTTCTTGGGAGGGTACATTTCTCAAGCTTTGGTCATTTGTGTCATATATTTTTAATGATCTGTGTGCAACATCTTCGTTTTTGTTTACTTAATATTTTTCTTTACATCAATTCATATTTTTGAATTACTTTTATTTAATGAAAATAAATAAAATACTTTTATTTAATGAAAAGTCTTTATATTGCTTTTATAAATGGAAAGCTGATGTTCACTGTAAGTAAAAGGTAACCGTAAAAAGTAAATACAACAGCCCTGGCTGGTGTGGCTCAGTGGATTGAGTGCCGGCCTGTGAACCAAAGGGTCGCTGGTTTGATTCCCACTTAGGGCGTATGCCTGGGTTGCAGGCCAGGACCCTGGTAGGGGGTATGTGAGAGGCAACCAGACAGTAATGTTTCCCTTCCTCTCTTTCTCCCTCCCTTCCCCCTCTAAAAATAAATAAAATCTTTTTTTTAAGAAAAAGTAAATGCAAAAACATGTTTTAATTAATTGCCTGCTGGAAATCTGCTCTATCTCTTAGTTTAAAGGACAGATTACCAAGTGTTGCGAAGCTGTTGAAGACACACCAGAACTAAACAGAGACCTCCTTACCTTGAGGAAAAGTAAAAGGATTGTGAAGGAAATATCTTTTTCACTAATAGGAGTCAGATTTACCTTATCTTGTATTCAGGCGTCATCTGACATGGTCTCCTTGGAAAATATTGCACTCGACTTCTGTGACCCTTGGCTGCACCAACCATCAGCTGCATGCCTTAACCTCCTTGGGCCTCAGTTTCTGAATCTGCTACGTGTGCAACATGGCACCTGCCTCACAGGTTCCCTTTCAGGGCATGAGGGGTGATGCTTGGGAAGTATATGTACAATTTTTATTTATTTTTATTTTTTCAGAACGCTTGACTCTGAAAAGTTGGACAGCTCAGGGATGGCAGTATCTGGCATTCAGAAAAGTGCACTCATCGCAGACATTGCTAATCGATTGCACCCACGCGTGGCAGACCTTGCTGATTGATCACAGCCCACCTTCCTCTGCAGCTTAGGTGCAGCTTTGGATTCTGTAGGCAGGTCCTGAATGATCACAGCTGGCACCCGGTGACACCACTGGACCAGATAATCCCTCGCGCTCCTTCCACAACAAAGACTCAGAGTTTCCAGGTGGGAAGCGAAATGTTGGAGGCTGGAAAGCTGAGAGGGGACTCTGACAGGCAGGCCCAGGGAACCCAGCTGGTCCCACCATTTCTGACGAGAGACCCGAGCTGGCTGGGTTAAGGGGCCACCTCACACCGGGCGGAGGTGGTCTGATGGTCCAGAGCACGTTAGAGTGTGGGCCTTGGGAGTGGAACAAGGCGGGAGAGGTGGGGGGAGTAAAGGAGAGACAGGCGCGCAGGGTCAGATTGCAGGGGAGAGCAGCAGCACCAGCTGCGGACCAGGCGGCCTGAGGCCCAGACCGCAGGTGCAGAGCGGGAAGCAGGAGGCAGCCGGGGCAGATTGGGGGATAAGAGCCAAGGGAAGGGCGGTGAGGGGGGCCTTTCAGCCTCTCAGGTCTCCAGTGTTTTGAACAGTAATTATTCCCTCAACAGCCCAATCCTGCATCATCTCTGGTCTCCACGTCCCATTGCCGCACCTCCGGCCCCCACTCCTAGCCACTTCCAGCGGCCACAGTGACCAAGAAGGTTGGAAAGAGACTATGCCTAGGATGAATAACCCACCACTGTCCTCCTAGTTATCGACCTTCCAGAAGATTCTGAAAACAGTCGAGAAGCACATTCGAAAGGAATGAGAACGCTAATACTCATGTTTCAGACACTGCGTCGGTCACGTCCCAGGCATCACCCCTCGTGCCCGGAAAGGGACCCTGGAGGCAGGTGCCATGTTGCACGTGTTGCAGATTAGGAAACTGAGGCCCAGGGAGGTTAAGACATGCAGCTAATGGTTGGTACAGCCAACATTCAAGCTCAGGTACGTGTGGTTCCAGAACTTTTGGCTCTTTGTATATATAAGGCTGCATGGGAGACAATTACATTAATGAAAAAAATAAGCAAAATTCCATTTTAAACTTACTGGCTACTGATTAAAGAGGTAAAAAGCAGCTCATATTCCATGACTGTGATTGTGGCTGAAACCATCCCCACGCCTGTGGCCTGGCAGCGTCACCTCTAGATCGGGTCCCTGCTCAGCCTCCTCCTTGGTCCACACGCCCCCTCCAATCCTCCCACCTCTGAGCCCTGCCAGACTGGTCTTGCCCTGGCCATGCCGCACCCTTGCTTAACACTGCGGTGACTCCCTGTTGTCTTCAGTCTTCAGGACAATGGCTGGACTCCTTAATGTGATTGTCTGTGATGGAGGGACCTCAGGCAGGTCACATCTACTCTCATGCCTCAGTCTTCCCATCTGTGAATGGGGTAGTCAGAGTAGATGATTTCTAAGCGTTTTCTTAGCCCTGATATTCTGTGGTTTCAGGTGCCACACGAAATGTGGCTTGTGGCCGGGACTATGTGTATTTTCACTTCAAGAGTGGGAGGCGAGAGACGAGGGTAAGGACCACAGTTGTCTCGTTTAGTTTGGCATCTGGTGGTCCTTGGGTTTGAAGTAGTCCTAACACACAGACAAGCCACTCCCAGACTCCTACACATCCCGCAGGACCCCTCTCAAGCATCGCCATTTCTGGGAGGCCCTTTGATTGGTCCCAGGTGGGGTTGATACTGCCTCCTACTGTTCCCTCTGAATTCCCTCGTTAAAGCCATCTGCCCTGCTATGGACCAGCGCCTGGGCTAGGTTCTAGGGATATAGGGCAGACAACAAGAGTTGTGGCAGAAAAATCAACCAGAGCGCATTAGCACAAACCTCCTTCAGAAACCCCAGACACGAGAAGACTGTGAAGAGCCCCCAACGTGGGGTTTGGGGCTTTAGTAAAAGGGTCTCGTCAGAATTCAGTAGTTTTGGAAATAGTCAGTTGAGGATGGTTCTTCGAAGAGGAAGGAATGGTTCTTGAAGATGAACAGTCACTGTTTGGCA